AATTATAATAATGTAATGTTTGAATGAGGAAGGATTTCAGTGGATTATGTTAAGCAAACTTGAAATATTAATTCTAGATCGAGAGAAGAACGGAATGAAAATAAATAAATATAGTTCAATATATTTCATGCATAATTTTATTCATTTTATTATAATATAATCATTTAAATGAGATGTATTTAATAAAAATATTTTATAAATACCATCTTTGTTGATTATGATATTGCCTATTGATTTATTCATATAGAAGTTATGAACTACTATATATAATCCTACTATCACTTAATTTTATTGAATTACTTTTTTTATGACTTTTTATTTTTTATGACTAACTGATATTTTGTGTTCGTTTTATTAGTTTATTTGAATTTTATACTAAATTTGACCAAAACGATTCTGTGGTTGATGCTTAGAATTTCGGTACATTCTTCGTTTTGCCATTTCCAAAAAATGTATTCTTATTTTATTACTATTTTTACTAATAAACAATTTTGTAATAAATCATTTAAAAAAATTTTCGTTCGCTCCTATATTACAGACTGACCCTTGTACAGAATTATTTTTTTAATCAATATCTTCCAGGGTCGTCAATCGATTATTTAGTTTGTACTCCCGATTGATTTCGATCGCGTGGACTGGCGAGTGGTACCAGGACACGCTCAGCGATTAAGTTTGAGGGGAAGGTCCAGAGTTTCGAGCGTGAAAATTTACCGGAAGCGCAATCAAGGGCGCAGACGCGGCTCTTATAGATTTTCCTGTTGGTAGCTCGGTGTTCGTACGATATGGACACAACAGCTCCTGGGGGGTTGCTAGTACACGATGAGGGTGGCGGTTCGCCCGACGTGTAGCATCCACGGAAGGGAAAAGGAACTGCGCACAGTAGTCGGAGGTGGTGGAATCGGAGGTGGAGGAAGAGCAGGAAAAAGAGGTAGAGGTAGGAGGATATAGCGAGAGGACAGAAGCGACGGGCTAGGCCAACCGTCTACACCGTGAACTGCCCGATCCGGAATGAATAATCTCGCGTATAGGTGGTGCCCGACGTGAAGGATTTGGACATGTGACCAAGGGTGGGTGCATCGTCGGGATGCATCTTCGTGGTGCATTGTTGTACTCGTACTTACGCGGTTAAACACGTGGTCCCGTCCTCCGATGCATTTCCTGAATGATAGGTGAGTCCTCTTTACGAATTCTCACTTTTGTTCATGTTATCGTCCAAGTTCCCGGTATCGCCTGCCACGAAACTGTAAAACGTTCGCATGATATTTTTAGGCTCGCTTGTACGATTTAACATATGTGCGAAACGATTATTATTAGAAATACGGCTTTGAAAATAAATCGTGAGAGTGTTTGTTCAATTTTTTAGTGGAGTGAGCCTATTTCATTTTACGCGCTGTTTTCACCTGACTGTTAATTATAATCAATTGTGTTGTATGTACAACGTATCAACGTTTGATTGCCGGGCGCGGTTTTTGTTACTCCGGATGAAATTGTTTGAACGCAATTGAACAATCTGCAAGCACACAGTTAAGGACTTCTGTGTATGGTAACTTTTTTACTTTGCAATTAAAAGTTGCTTGATAAGAAATATTTGCGACAATACGTTTTTACTAAGGTTTAGTTTATTATCAGTTCACGTCGCTATCGTTATCATTTTACCGAATAGCCTTGAAATTTATTGCAATACGTGCTCAAACTTGATTATCTGCACTCGAAGTATTAGATGCTTCTACTGATAACGTCTATTAGTAATTTCGTATTGATTTCAGTACCGTAATACCGTAAATAACGTATAATCGTCCATAACTACCTGTTATGATAACACAATGATATGTAAAATCGAGCCTCCGAGTTGCTTAGCAAAAATAATTTTCACTACCTGTGTTCGTTTAACGAGAATCTTATTTGTTTCGAAATAGTGATATACTGTGCACTTTCAAGTGATATTCCGTGTGAAATAATCGAGCCCTTTTTATTGCGAATTACTTTTATTTTTAAATGGAGTAATACTTCTCATACAACATTGAAACGAACTACTTGAAAAGCTGAACCACTTGGAATTGAGATTTTATTAACACACGAGTTCTATGCGACTTTGACTGGTTATAACTTTATAACAGTAAGGGTAAAGTACTTGCTTATTCATAAAAGAGAGTTTCTTTAAGTAGATATTTATACCGCAGTCAATTAGAGTATATTCATTTAAACTTTACATATTTCATATTCTTTTTAAAATCGCGTTTCTTTTTTATTTCGCTGTAAACCGATTTCATTCTCCACTGCATGGCGTGTTCATATCATCACCATCTTGTGGTATATGTTTATTTTCGTAATCGTTAAATTTTTTAGCCCGAAAATATGTTACGAAGATGTAGAACAGGGCTGTTATGCCTGTGCTTTTACTTATCCGATGATTTCGATACGGAACGTAGTGGGTTACCGGGGAAAGTACGAGGGGTTGAATTGGGAAGTGGGCGTGAAGGTTGATTCATAGTGGTACGGCGTTCTATAATATAATAGCCCCCTATATAGCTATACTTTGGTAATAAGTACTGCCGCATTACCAGATTTAGTTTTGTGCTTATAAAACGAAGATCTGATCAAGGTGACGAATTTTCTTTTTANTTTGAAGTATAAGATTTTTTATTAAGCGCGTTGTGTATTTTAATCAAACAAATAGCGTTGATGTTTTTCACTTTGCTTAAATAAATTTGTTGAGCTTAAATAAATTTGTAACAACAGAATGAAGTCACGTTTGCACTCGGCTTGTTGATAACATTCTTCAGAAACTGTTTAATTCATTTCTCCTGATAATCTGCGGCCGGTCGCCGACCGCAGGTTCCTTTCTCTTTCTTACGTTTCCTGCTTGTATTCCTTTCTGTGGCGATAAGAAATGACAAATTAACGAAAGTGACGATAATTTCCGTCATCCCGATTTCATAATAAAATTTCATAATTCTACCAAAGCCGTTACACTAACAATTTCATTATCACTTGAATGCATAATTCGAGACTCCTGCTTCCACGGAAAATGTATATCTTACCGTACTCTTGTCTCTTGTACTTTTGAAAGCAATAAACAATCACGTATGCAAAAATCATATTGTTTCATTTTCTGAATCTCAATCGGTGAATTTTAGGTACTGCAAAACTAATAGTATGTCCCTTATAAACAAATTTTCGTGACTTCTGCCTTGAGGGAGGAAGCTCTTTTGGGGAAGAACAATACGCACAAGTACGCATTGTCATGAAGGTGGACAAAAAATTCTGCTTGACTAATATTGCGAGCGCACGTGAACAATGTTTTACTTCGTACTTATAGAGTCCGTGAATGCAAGCAGCATACACCCTCTGTCGCATTTTCAAAGTGGAAAGGTTGCGTATTTAAAAGGTGTTACAATACGAGCTTCTGTACATAGAGCATAAATATTTGTCATAGACATTATTTATCACAGGCACGGGTTTCATTTCATTTTCATTTTTTATTAACCGGAACTTGCTATGTGCATACACAAACACAATCTACCGATGTTCTTCTATATTTTATTTCGGCTCAATGTGACTTATTGAGATTTTCGATCGGTTGTAAATAGATATGTCGATCAATTTTATTATGTGTACGGAAATGGCGATATCTATTCTGTACATTCTTATCTAGTTTAAATAATAATGAAGTACCGGTGATGCATATACGTATACATAAGGGGTATAGATAAGTACAAAGACAGTATTGTTAGACGTACCTATATATATATATATATGTGTATATATGTATACATATACATACATACATATATACATGTATCATATCCCTTATGTTAGATCCACCTTGTTACGTACTTTTTTTTGACGTACTCAAGATTAAATATGCGGGCACGTGGTAGAGTGAAACATGCGGAAACATGAACAGCGATGCAAAAGAGGTGAAATCCATTAGTTTCCTGTTTTACACGTTTCGCTATTAAAACTCTTTGTCGTTACATCCGGGAACGGAACAATTGGGAAAAAATATTCAGCTGTCGCTTTATTCAGATCATCGTGATAATCGCTATTAAAGTCTATTCTTCAAGTGCACTCGAAACGCGCTTTACTCTTGAACCGCATTTTATGTATCACGTAGATAATCGTGTACAGGGATGATTATCGAAAAGAAATTTTTCTTACGTATGCGACAGCGTGTTCTAGCTTACGATAATATTTACTTCAACTTCAACATAATAATTAGACACTGAATCATTTGGGACTTGACATACTGTGACAACAGCGACGTATCATTAGAAACTTTTACTATCAAAGATAGACCGCGAGCAGAGCGTGACTGTGAGCACATTTAATTAGTCTCCGTGCAAAAAGTGGCAATAATTATGGGTAGACACGCGTAAAAATTTTGTCAGTAATAACCGCGCGTTGCTTTGTATAGAATTTTATTGAATTGGAGACGTGTTGACACGTGACCCCTTTGAAAAATATTGTTTGCTGGTGAGCGCGGATTTATTCGAACGAAACGAACTGTGAGAATCATACGTACAAACGAAAAATGTGTGTCATCGCAATCAGTACAGCGTGGAAAGCCTTTTCGAACGATGTACCGATATCGGTATTATCTTTATCTCTGTACTTCAATATGTTACTTTATCTCATTAGTTCAATAAAAAGTTGGTCGAAAAATTTTATCAAGCAGTGAACGAGCAGAATCGCGTAACGTACTTCGACTTTTAACTACGAAGTGTAGGCAGGAAAAACTATATTTTCCACAATATAAATTTTCGACAACTTCTCTGTGGTGAAACGATTGACACAAATAGGACATCGTGTAGTACAATAGAAAGAAATAGATTTACAAGTTTAAATAGAGTTAACTACGAAGGGACAGTAAATTAATGAATTGTAAGTATGTTGATATTTGTAATTTAGCACTGACTTCTGTAACGATTTTTTTATATTTGTTTAAAAGGAATTGTTTTTTAACCTCTATTTCTATTTCTAATAAATGACGTTGTTTCGGTTATGCATATTCATATTACACGAATGCATATACTTATTCATTAGTATTGTTATGTTAATTTTCGACCATAGACATTATGAAATTATTAAAAAGAGGTGAGGGAAGTTTTTTTTAACAATGGTTTAGCACCATACTTACATTTTTATCGTTATTGTTAACAATACCGCATATCCTATCGCGGCTTTGATATTTTTCACACAATGGTAATGGTTCGTAGCGATTGCAAGTAACTTTATAACGTTCGGTGACAATCGTGAATACGGTAACGTGGCAGAGACAGTAATAGTATAACATACATTTAGAAAGGGTACGTTCTTATCGTGTTATCATTTAAGTAAAGAAAAAATATGAGTACTGCAAATTATTAAGTTTCATGATAACAAAAATACGTGAAGCTTTTTCATTCAATAATAAAAATAAAATTAGAAAAACCTGTGAACTATATTTCGTGTACAAATTATAGATACTAGGATTATATTTAGCAATATGTGCATGAATATATCGCTATATGTACAATGTTAACCGAAGCCGGTTTGATCTGTAGAAATTGATTAAATTAAACCTGACATAAAGATATGGTTGCGGTATCGATCGCGTGTGATGTATGTACGGACGTATGTATATCATGTATTAAATGAAGTTGTACGACTGACATTCATGATTCAATTACCTACAATAAGAAATTATTTATCTGGGCGTAGAACACTTTATAATTTATAATATTGTCAGGGAGGTACTGGAACAAGCGCCTAGCGAGTGCAAAGCAAGTTGCAATTATTCTTCTGGACATTTCATCTCCCGGCGCGTTTCGTCTTACATTTCTAATTAACCACCATACGTCGGACGATTTACGTAACATCGGGTCAGATTACTTTATTAGACATTCCGTGTGCATTGTGTGTGCATTCTTTCATTATGCACGCCGCAAACGTTACTTTGTTTTCTTCGTGATTATGCGGCACGTGCTAAAACGGATCGTGTGCGCGACAGTTCAATGTTTAAACTAGAGATTCTAAGGTGGAATCATTCACTTCTATCAATAGTACACATGGATTGTACGTTTAATCTAAAAACGAACAACTTTCTCTCAGTTTTTAAAGGTGATAAATTGAAACAGTAGGGACACGTTTGCGTGAGCTTGCAATCTTCGATCATTTGTTGCTTAACATCTAAACGACGGAATCGCGATAATTTTATTTACTTGCTTATAAATATTTTATAAATGCGAACGCCGAGCACGTAATTACGAATCGTACTCGGAATTCGTGTAGGAAGCATACAAAAACATGTTGAAAATATGCTTGGAATGTATCATGGCGTCTAGGTATGTTTAGGCTGTCATATGTTGAAGACGATTTTCCTTTATATGTGTCACGCGTACTTATAGCGGGTACTTCAATACAAAGAACTTGAGAGAAAGGAAGACACTGAGGGAAAAGTAAATGAAGGGCTGAGGGGAGAAACTGCAGTGCACGGGGGAGTGACCGTGCATTATTTATATTATTACAACAAGGAATATTATTTTGCGATTATTTATACTAAGCATATTTAATAGGAGAAAAATTGAATTAATGTACATAAAAATAGAGATTAGAATGCACTACATTATTTTATGAACAATTTTTTTCATGTTTCTTTGGCTGTTGAATAAAAAATAATGAGCCAAAGTTACTCATAACACTTGACTCGTATAAAAAGATTTTTATTTCCGCGTATTCATGGCAAGTAACTGTTAAGTCGTTAACGACGTTCCCTCGCATTCGAGTAAAATCTGGTTTTCTGTTCTTCTCTGCTTGCTACTTCCTTCCACTCTATTTGCACCCCGAGGCTGCAAATTAAGCGGAAGTGTAATCGCCAGACTTAACGCACGATCCAGGAGGTTGTTGCCTGTCGCGCTTAAATTTGCACCATTTAGGTCAACTTAAAGTTGAAATTTACTTATTTGCGCCTGCACGTGCACTTACTACTGTAAACATATTATTCGTTAATAAATTTTTCCTCATTATTTTATTATGTTGCTTGTAACCATGCTTTGTTGATTTCAACTGATTTTGCAGTGATTACAATTGAGACGACGTTCGGTATTAATAGCAGTAGTTAGTCGAATGCTTTTCAGTAGTCTTTCAGTAAGACTCGGCTCCGAGCCTCCAGTTACTTGACCGAAATTTTCCCAGTCTCCTTTTCCCGTTTCTTGAGCATCTTTTGACTTTCTGTGTCATTGATTTATACTAACGATGTTTCGTTCTGTACATGTATTCTATGGTACGCTCGTTGCAGTTTTAATAAATTGTAGCATAAAATATGTCTGTTTCGCACGTTTCACTTTCCACTTAAATTATCATACCTTTTATACAACATAGGAATAAAAATTGTGTGTAAAGAAAATTGAAATTTTGTACAGAAACAATTATAACTGCGTGAATAATTTATGTCAATAATTCTACGGCAAATATCACTTATGATTTAAGCGATCGCTTTTGTCTAATTCATAAGGAAGTAGTCCCTTCGTTTCGCATTGTGTATTTTGTTTTGTATGATTAATTATTTAGATTGTAAAATATGTAATAGAGTAGCTTAACTTTAATCCAGTAATAATAAAATATTATCCAATACAATTTACTTATTTAATTGAGATAATTCGATCGAAGCTCAAATTCCGTTTGCACAAAATATTAAATGATTAATTGTAAATACAAAAAAGATAATTTATTACAAGTATGAAATATGATGAGATAAATTGACTATAAATTGGTTATACTTGACTAAAGAAAATCTGTTTTATTTCATATAAACTCAGTTCAATGGTCAGGTAACGGTACATAAGATATATAAGTCAGATACACGTTATCTCCCTTTCCTTGGAAATTTCGTGTATCACTGATGTGTATTGAAATTTGCAAACACATGCTAATAAAAGTTAAATTGGCCGTAAAGCCGTGTAGACTGGTTCAACGTCGTGCGATAAGTTAAAACGTGTTAGTTTTACCGTTTACCGTCCACGTGTCTCACAGTTTCGCTAAAATCAAAATTTCTCTTTCATATTTGCTCGTATTAAATATCGACATCCGCCGTTTTATTTTACTGTCGCAGTTGCATTAAAAAATCAATAGGTCAATGTACAATTTCGTTGCCCGGGGACAAACAATTTAAGGCACAATCACTTTCAGCACAATTCTATACATATAAAATTTTTGTCGTCGGCGTCAATAATTAATTGGATATTTCCTTCTATACTTTTTAGCACGTAGCTATTTCTTATTAGCATTGTTCTTCCAACGTCTGATTTCTTTTTAATTATAGGAAATGCGTTTTTCTAAGATTACATAAACTTTTGGGATTGACTGTATAGCCAATACATCCTTAAGTGCAGTGTACTAAACAATATGTCAATGAAATGCTTTCAGCATAGCTGAATGGACACGGTAGCTGAGGCGCGGCGCGACGTATGGATAGGTAAAACTTTTTGACGAACAGGAAACGTGCGGCATGGGTCTGTCGCGTCCCTCCCTGAAGGGATACTTTTTCTACATTTTGTGCCTGTGCGGTCTGCTCTTGGTCGTCCTGTACCTACGGCAGGACGAAATATGGCATCGTATGCGAGTCAGACCCCACCTAAACATGCCCCACCGCGAGCTCCACATCCAGGTAATCCGATATTGGGCATTTGTTCACCGTCGCATCGCGTTTACTATAGAAAATTAAATTCCGTGGTCAGGCACCTGTTTTAAATACGTGCTTAACGTAAACTATATGACACAGGTCATGAATTCAGATCCGTAATAATTTAGTTTGAAAAAAAAAGTAAAACTAAAGTAAATCGATAAAATAAATAAATAAGATCGAATTTCGAGCGCAGGTAAAAAAGAAATTCCCTGATTTGCCTGAAAAATTCTATTGGCGTGACATATCGAATTGGCCTGAAAAATCGAAGAAACCGACAATGCAAGTTTTGCAGACTCGGGAAAAACCGAAGAAAAAGATTCTGTCCGAGGTACAGTGTCTAAAATCCATTGTCGATAGTTGACTGCGATAGACGCGCGAAATGTAACCGAGACAACCTTTATCACAACATATACGCACTACTTAGAAGGAGCCAAACTCTTGCAAAATATGCATAAACTATTAAAAATTATATTTAACACAGATACTTGTGATAATTAAATTAATTAAGTTATCTTAGTCTCATTCGGAAATGATATTAATCTTCCTCCTTAGGCGATTTTATTCTTATACTTCCCAAGATGGCTAAAATATGAATGGAATTAAAGAGAATTAAAAATTTCCGTGGTTAATTACGTTAGCAATGGTTGTCTCTGGTTTCTGGAGTGCAGCTAATTATAGTTGCTTAGTTTCGTGTAGCCTGGCTAGCTTCATGTGCTGTACAAAATACATACGCAATAGTGTATTATTATTATTTACGGTTAGATTAGCTAGCTACCACTAAGTAATTTGTAATCCCTCATAGTATAGTTACCATGCAAATTTTATACCTTGGAACATGCGACTAAGTCGCAAATGTAATTACAATGCTCATTAATTATGAATACGCATAATCAAGTAATTTGCCTTTATTATAACAACCTAATAGATTTATTTGATTAATAAACACCAACGAATACTCCGTTTAATTCCAAAAACAAAGAAGATACTTGTCGCCTGCGCTTATGCTTAACGAATGTTAGTTAAATGCAAAGAGAATGTATAAGCGAGGAAACGATAATGAAAAATATACAATTGTGTATTTGTTTGCTGAAAGGTATCCAACCTAACTGGCACGACTCTGAAACGCAACAGTTTAGAATTTACGGATCCATCGAAAAGGCCTTGGTATATGAAAGGAGGGACCAGGAGGCCGTATCCTGCCATAAAATCGCATCGCACCGGTCGAAGACTGGCGCGATTATGGCCCGACGAAGACGCTTATGACGATCGTGTTACTAATCAAGTGAGACATAAATAATCTTATTAATTCATAATTATTAAGCTGGCTAAAAATATAGGATATCGATGCTTTTATTTCATCCAGTTATACGTATGAACATCGTAAAATAGGAAATTATTTAAGTTTAACATTTCTAATAAAATTAAAAATTTAGTATCTAAGACCGTGTTAACGCTATTAAATTGTCATTGAATTTGTAATTGCACCTGACGTTATTTACAACGCAGAATGAGGAACGATAGATTTTTTCCTCTTGCCGAGCATCTCTGTTGTAATCCGTAGTTTGAAATAAATTACCATCACGACTTTGTTCTGAAATGTACTGAACAAAACAAGGAACATTGTGCTCCGTCTTTCTTCGAGTTGTGCACAGCTCTGTAAACCCTGCTTCTCACCTCTTCTTTCACGGCACAATGCAGTCTATTATACGCGAATGTAGGCCACTGTTATGAAAAAGTATTAAAGGGAATTACTCGTTCTCTTCATAATTATAACTCATTCTCTTTTCACTCATTTCTGCTTTCGGTTTTTATCGAAGGATCAAGTTGAGTTCTTTATCCTACGTTTTTATAGCTAATGTATGTGCCTACCGATTACAACAAAACCAGCGCCGAGCAACGGTTGAAAAAAATAATGGTCCCCCACGGTATGTCCGAAGCGAAAGTGGGTCCAGATATATTTATTCAGCATCGATGCCCAGTAAACACTTGCACGATTGTTAGAGACAACCCGGAAGATGCTGACTTGGTCCTTTTTAAAGACTACGTAACGCACGTGGGCAGAAGAAATCCAAATCAAGTATGTAACACAAATTTCCTTTAATTGCAGCATTTAACAAATTAATCGTTCTAACGCACTAAAACTGAATGATACATACACTCTTGTTCTTTTTTTTAATCTGAATATACTACAAAAATGGATTACTATATTTTATACCAAATTCAATTAAACATGTAGAGTGAGACTGATGCGATTTTCAGCAGGTGTGGATGCTGTATTTTTTAGAATGCCCTTATCACACGCAAAGCGTGAAGAATGCTATTATTAATTGGACGGCCACTTATCGACGCGATAGCGATATAGTTGCGCCCTACGAAAGATGGCAATATTACGATGCCAGCATTACACAGATACCACAAACGTTTAACTACGCGGCTAACAAGACTAAAAAGGTAACAGCTAGTTTTATTTTCCAATTAACCATTTAAACTGTCGTGAAAACGTTTTCCTATTAACGTGTATATATGAATTACTTCCTATCTCGAAGACCAAATTTACACTTGAAATAGAGTAAATTCACACAAATCTGTTAGAGAGATGAATCACTTTTAGATAAAATTCCATGAGTGAACATGTGCAAATATTGACACATGCACTATGTATATATATTCAAATTATTAAGTTCGAATTATTACAGAGAAATTGTATAATAATAATTTTTAGTGTACTAAAAAATACATATTTTCATATATTAAAGTTAAATGTAAGATGTTATTTAGGAAAATAATTAATAGTTGGATGAAATGTTGATAATGTCGCTGCAGGTAGCATGGTTCGTCTCTAACTGTCATCCACGAAACCAACGTATGCATTATGCTAGAGAATTGTCGAAATACATTCAAGTGGACATTTACGGTACTTGCGGAACTTTGCGGTGCCCACGCTCACAGTCCCAGGCGTGTTTCGATATGCTCGACGAAGATTACAAGTTTTATCTCGCTTTCGAGAATTCCAATTGCAAGGATTACATCACAGAGAAGTTCTTCGTCAATGGGCTCAGGTACGGTGTACTTCCGATTTTCAATTATTTATTTGACGCGGAATTTCATATTTAGGAAAGTAAAAATAATGGGAACGAAATTTGCCACGTATGGATAAGAGCATATTGTATTTTCAATAATTTTGTTGGGCAGTTGCCATAATTGTCAAAGTGTTCTTCACGCGCAGTTGTTACCACCCTTATTTAGTGTACTTTGGCGCATGTAGAGGTTCTCGAGATTCTCTCCTGCCCTACTCTGTTGAAGTGTTATCTTCACCGAGATTTCGGAATGAAGGCTACCGTAGCCAGACACTAAAAAGATACTACCTTCAATCGTTCAAAATAGTTTTTTTTTTATAATAAACTCAATTCGAAACTTGAATTTACATAATATTCATGATGTTATGTGATGCAATTGATAACTGGTATATTAATTATTCAGGCACAACGTTCTGCCGATCGTAATGGGTGCGCACCCTGCGGACTACGCTCGGAGTTCGCCTTATCGGTCGTACATTCACGTGGACGAGTTCGAATCTCCGAAGGAGCTCGCTGAGTATCTTCACCGTTTGGACCACGACGATGAATTGTACAACTCGTACTTCCGGTGGAAGGGTACCGGCGAATTCATAAATACGTACTTCTGGTGTCGCGTGTGCGCCATGCTGCACGACGACCGTCCGTCGAAATTTTACAAAGACGTGAACGAGTGGTGGAGAGGCGACGGGATATGCACGACGACCTCGTGGCGTGAACACGATTTGGTCCGTCGATCGGCCAACTCGGACACTTGAACCAGTTCTCCGTGAAAAAAGGAGAGAGAGACTTCAATTCGAGTGGGAAACGACGACGCGGTGCGTCCGAGTTCATTTGAATACGCTTTCGTCGATAGAATCGTTCGGACTTCCAAAGGTGCGTGAAAAAAAAACGTTACGTTATGGACTTGAGTAATGACACGGTTACTGGTTACTCTGCCGAGTTTCGTTGACCTTTTAATTAATTTGTGTGTTGCGACACGACTATCCGTGGACTTCTAGGAACCAAGACTCGATTTAACAATTATAGTAAAGAGCGGATAGTCTTATTATTAATCGATGAAAAGACTGCCGACTACGAATTTGACAAAAACGGTTAGGGATATTCGAATTTGTATTTTTCGATCTACGACACGGTGACTTTTACACATCAATTGAATAACGGAATCTCCCCACTTTAGATAAATGAAAATAACCGCTTGCGTTTAGTATAATTAAATACTTGTCTTCTTTCCTTGAAAGCGGCGGTAATAAATTGGTGTTTCATTAAATAATTTGAGTACTAAAATATTAGGAAGAAAATTCTTCTTGGATTATTCGAAACAATCAGTCGTTTGAAACTTTAGTGATCACCAAATCTAAAGTTTCTTCTTTTCTTTTGCAAACACCAGTTACGCACAGTGCAGATAGTTTTAGCGTATCACCAATTGCGAATTTCTATCGACGTTCCTCCGATATTTATACAAACAGGATTATTTTTGTTTTCTTATTGTTTCAATATTCCAGTCAGGAATTTGCACAACGGTACTCTCGTAAAAATGTATGTATTATTACGATTGCGGTAATTTAACTAGACAAGGTGTTTTATACAGTTATTAATAAATAACGAGCATTGACATTAGTTAGCTAGAAATTAAACACGTGTTTGCTAATCGTGAGATCGTTCACGGACAAATATACAAACAGAAATGTGCGTCGCATCAGCATTCAAGAAACCAGTGTACTTCGCATAATTTTCGAACGTCGTACAATGCTTGATGTCCTATACACGTTGCATGTAAAGTATCAAGAACTTGGAACTTGTCACTGTCAGACATAAAAAGATGATACCGCGTGGCATCGTATCGAGGCATGAAATTTTTTACAACGCGTCAAACAAGGAGAGAACCGTATAAATCAATGAAATCTAATTTCCATACAGAATGCTTGTAAAAAAAGTATGTGGATATTGTACAGAGTTTGTTCTCAATGATTTACCAACGAACTTCAACAAGGTTCATTAACTTTAATTTTTAGAAATTCGTGCTTTGTTGGGTTTTGTGGCAGTGACGTTATTGTTGTTTGTCGTACGCATATAAAAGAAAAGGAATTCAGTGTATGATAGCATATAATGTTCCTGGTGTACTTCAACAATGTGAATTTTATCTGTGTCCACTATTCGAATAAATATTCATGTGGGCGTATTTGATGAATACTTATCAGCGTTCAGATAATCTATTCATGTGGGTTCGAATTCAATCCATGGCTTGATGATAAAGAGGTGTACATTTCTGCAGAGCAAGCACACCACAGCTGTGTTGAACCTGGTTGATCAGTTAATTAACAATACGGGCCAAACGTCATTTATAATTTTCTCAATAAGGGGTAAATTATTAATTGACGAATGCTAAAACAAAATTTAGATTCTTCATCTTCACATCATGAAGTCAATCAATAATTTTTGTTTCAATTGAATACATTTTATTATTGTGTTATTTAAAAAATTTAGAGAATTTGTTTTATTAATATGTACTGTTGTCCTTGTTTCTTAAAAATTTTGTTATACGTAACTGATTGAGCGGAGATGTTTTATATTAATGGATATACTTCGAATCAAGTGTTATCGTCACACAATCTTTTGACGATGAATAAATCAGCTATTTAAAAATTTTTATAAATTGTACTCTGTATAACAAATTGTATACACTTTTGCCTAAAAATTAAGCGGTAGATACTGAACGAATCATCTGTACATTATGTGTAGATTAAGTCTAATCGAGCATGTGTGAAACATGTTACAACTTCACCTGTTAATAATTTTGCTCTCATAGATATCATAGATAAAGTCCACGTATCACGACTAGAAACAAATGTTTCCTTCGAATATTCTCAAACTTCGATGCGAGGTCGTTAGAATTGTACTAATCTGCTTTCGGAGTTTGAAGATTATTCGTTAAGACCGGAATTGACGAATGTAGAAATTATCAGAAAACATTTGCAGACGACAGGACGTTGTTTACTGTTTATACAACCAATTTCTATTACGGAAGTTAAGTAGATTCGAACCTACACGGATAAGCGATCATTGGTCAGTGTTTGGCAGTAATTTAATAATTTCCAGTTGTGCTACATACTTCCGTGGACATTTCATTTTGTTCTAGTTAAAACGAAGTCTTCATAAAATATGAGCACTTTTTTTTTTAACACCAGCAGACTAATTATGATAATTGATTTGCCAATTACTGTCAATTGTTTAACGCGAGTGATCGACTTCATAAAAAGCTTTCAGGATGCGTCGATGTATATCTAACATATTGTAATGTACAGTTATCGTTACTTGTAAATTATTCCATCGAGTTCAGTGCGAAATTTTTGAAAGGATCTAGTCAAGGTGTGAATTTAGCAGGAAAACATTCTTTCGATCGCTACATACGCAGCGTGTACCTGTTCAAATGATTCCTAGTACAACTTACGTTGTTAAGTTAATTTACTTACATAATTGTTCATCGCAGAATAGTTCGTCGAACATGAATCGTACAAAAATGAAGTATCATGTCATGCGTAGATTTCTACTACTTAGAACGTATCTCGTTGATAATCCTTGTATTATTACTATTGTAAATTTTTCTTTGAAGTTAATTTCTTATTAAGAACATATCAATTAATCTATATAGTTCAAATTGTTTATTTAAACATTCTGTGAATAACGAACGACGGTTGCAAAAGTAAATCTCATCGTAAAATTAAAAGGATAGGAGACTATAACGTTGCACCGTCATAAGATAGTACATTCGATGTGGGGGAAATCAGTTTTTACTTCCATTTATGTACAAAGTAATTGCACAAATAACGAGAAAACCAAAGATTTTATGTGCTACACACGTATGCATTCTTGAACATAGTAGTGAAATATGTATTGCGACGATAACTTATTTGATATTTTCAACTGTTCATTATATTATCTGTGCTATTACTTATTACAATACTATTCTTTACTCACAGAATGACAAATAACGAAGTACGTGAAATAATTTATAGCTTATATGGGTAGACCGTCATACCTTAATTTAAGAGGCAAATTACATCGAAGTTAGTACATTATCGAATTACATGATAAAATAGAAATATAAAAATATTCATGTAAGTATACAGGAAACGGTTATATCGCAATGTTGGGCAAATTCTGTGGCTTTAGAGACCTCATTGCGTACATCATTTTACTATTTATTTGAACTGTTTTCTTTTTGCAATAAACGGTAAATGCTAGTACGTAACATGCTGGGGTAAAGCTGAAAATAGAGTGGATGAAGGTTTAGGACTAATATAACGAGGCTATCCGTAAGATTGGCATAGCTCAGAACACGTAGCTCAAAGGTACATAAACGTTTCGACTGTTTTAGTTCGAAGACATGTTTTAGCTCAAAAAGATAACCGATGCGGGACGTATAGATAGTGTAGTTACATCTTGCACGAACCAAAAAGCACGTGTATAAAGAATTATTGCGAGTTATTTAATTGTGGACTACGCCACGGCTTGTATATCGGTTCCTATGTAACGTCGATCGTTCAAAGTGCGCACAAGCAATGTTACTTGCATAAATAATTAGCTAATCGATTAATTACGTGACAGGAATGTCGATCGAGCAGTTTACGATGATCTGAGATCAATCGTATCCAAGAATGTTGCGTCAGAGTTCTCCTCTCATGTTTTGATTGGATTTACACTACTGCTGTGTGTGTCACAGTGAATATAGTACATCACTTATTAGTACAGATGAGAGAAAATACATAATGAAATTCACTGTGGCACACATACAGGTGTCAAATTTAGGAATATTTTTATGTGAAAAATTAGAGAAAATTGGTAATTTTAAGATTGAGATCATGTTATTTAAAATAGTAAATCAACAATTAGAAGTAAAAATCAAGATGTGTAACAAAATTGTTTAATATCGTTCGGCAACGTAGAAATATGCAGACTATATTTTAGAAAATTAATTAGAAGAAAATTGATTTACAGTTGGAAGTTATTTAAAAACGTAGGATGTTATATTTTAATAATTTAATGTTATTTGATGTGCTTTCAAATTTATAATGCATTTAGTCGATTGTGTTTAATGAATGTGAGGTGCGGGCTTATTAAAAAAATAATTAGAATCGGTAGAACGTAAGATTTCAAGAAAAGAATATGACGCCATCACTAGTGCAAAACCGGTATTTACATAGGCGAATAGAGAATTTTAATTATACTCTACGAATCGTATGTAGTTTCTGAAATCAATTTATTTATAATTGGTGCTGATTGTAATGATTGGTGCTGGTACACATCATACATTGACCAGACATTAGTATTTGTTTCCAGCGCGCTGAGCGTTGATTAATAGACGATTAGCGTGTAAAAGTTAGTGCAAAATAATACGTATGGAGTACACAGCCCCATTTATTTTATTTCCAAATTATTTATTATCAACAAAAGTTTAGAATACATAGACAATCGAGCAGTGCATGTCGAAGGTCACTGACATTATTCGTTATGGAACTTAATGCAAAAGACACTACATTGAGAAACATGAACAATTATAATTCTTCTTAGGTATCGTTTACATTGCATATTACGTACTTTAGAAATGAGTTACCAAAGTGATTGCACGCTGTGAAACTAGATAACGCCGTAATTTGTAAATATAGCGACTTATAAGATTAATGAAAAAATGCTAATGAAATAACACAAACGCATCATAACGAAATATTGATGTTCGAGATCTGTAGATATAACTGTGAGGAGCGTGGAACGAAGCGTAATGCCACTTCGTTCTTATCGAAAACCAAAAATAACTGTCGCCGTGATTAGCATCGGGCGAATATAATCGTAAGAATTTAATGAGACGCTGTTGTATCGCTGCGCATCCTCCGATTGTTTAAATTATACAATTTGTGTATGATTCGTCTAAAGAATTCAAGTGTATTGCTTTTAATGAAGTGCTTTTGTTCAGAATCAAATGAACGCGCAGGTTTTCAATAACAATGTCTTTTTTGTTAAATAAGATTGTGAAGCATTGTATATTTATATTGATATTATGTACGTTCCTGACTGTGGGAATAAAAATGAATTCTATTCTTATTTTTGAAACGTTCTCCAATTCCTTAGTGCCCTTTTTCATGCAAACTAGACTTCTGATACATTATTGAGGTAATTTTCAGCTTGGAAGAATACATTAAAATGCCTATGTCGAAGCACACAGAGATTAATTTCGTGCGAAATTGTTAAAAACAAAAATAATATCCCATGAATCTCTGAGCGACCGCACGTTCTGTATCAAAGCGCTCCTTTTTGATAAAATTTCAGATTTCCCAGAAAAAAAAAAAAAAACGCGCAGTGCCCTTTTCCCTCTTTGTTATGTGTCTTTACACCCAATAAACCCTGATGGGCTTCATCCTGTGGCTCAATCTGCACGGCTGATCGCCTTCCCAACTACACCTCACGGAGCATGTGACCTCTTTATCCCTTTGTTTTTCCCTTACTCACCCTGCTATTCCAACCCCTCTGGTTTTTTCTCCGTCGGCTCGTGTGCGTCTGTATAGCCATACGGACAGGGTTCTCTTCGCGTTATTTCTCACGATGTCGGTGTTGCAGAAAACTTATCGTTCAACCTAATAAAATATTTATAAGAAATGATTTAACCTTTTTACGCCCCATACGTACATACAAGGAAGGGCCAGGAAAGTGTAAATCACTGATTTTTATGATAGTCACCTGTACCAGTAACTCCTTTTAAGGTTTTATTGCGCATATGAGAAACAGTTACGACGTATAAACTAAATATTTTAAAGCTAATATGTTAGCTATTTGTGTTTCTTGTATCTATGTAATTATAAAAGCGTTTTAATTATTGAATAGCTGAAATAATAATTTGTGTTATATCGAAATTGCATATCTGTTGTACGTAATGGCTGTAGATCCCTGGGTTCTATTAATGAATATTTAAATGTTGATAGGTATACGAGCATAGTATGCCAATGATTTAAATAATCACTATCACTATATTGTAGAGCACGGAAAAATTCATAGTGTCGAAGAATATGGAAATCGGAGTAAACAGGGGTATTTACTTTTTCGCAGACGTGCCTGAACTTGCTTATCAGTTTATAGATCGCAAAAGCCCCCAAGCATGATGATAAATATTGTATAGCTAGGTATAGCGACATATTTTTAAAGAAATCAGTATTTATAGTAGAAGCGTGACACTAATTATTAATGAATTATAGGTACTCGATAAAATCTATGCTTAGTTAATAGACTTTATTAATTCCATTTCACTTCAGTCTTTGACTAACTCCTTATTTTTAAAACTCGCTATATCATCGGCATCCTTTGGAGTCAAGAGCTCCGAACCTAAGCTGTTCACATTATTGTGGACGCGTATCGTCGCATCGCAGTAGTGTTAGTAACAAATTGAACGTAAAATGTTTCTAAGCGAACCATTTATGTAATCCAAGATCGGTACACTCTTCGAACTTCGTCCTTTAGTTTACGATCCTCAACGGCACAACAGTCTTAAAGAAAACTTTGGCAGGATCTTTAGATGCTTCCCTAACAAGTTCATAGCCTGATGATAACCGACACCATTAATGTGCTCGCTTTGGAACTTTGTTATTAAACTGTTACGTTAAATATTAAATATTTGCGATTTTAATTCATAAGCGATCTCATTTCCACGATTCTAGAAACTAACATTCGCGACCAGTTGAGTTAGGTATGTAAAAAGTAAATCTGTTCTAGGTATTTCTCTCCTTAACCTTGATATAATTATTCATTTTGTGGAAAATATGTTACACAGATGGATCATAATAATGTATTGTGTCCGTTCCCGAGAAGTAGGATTAAATGGGATCTAGCTGATGCTTTTAGCGAAAAGGCTTAAGGTGAAAGTGAATACGCGAAGAATTACCCGAACTAAGCTTTCCTATCAGGCACTAATGATATAATTTAAACGCGAGCGCACATTAAACATTGTCATCGCCTAACGATTTTCATCCAATTCACTAGCTCCCTAGCGTATTTCTTTGTCCTTCAACTAAACTATGTATCGCTAGTAACAAATTTATACCGAGCATTATGATCGGAACTGTAGTTTAGAAAAAGGATAAACTTATTTTCATAAGCTTTTAAAGTTCTAAGGTGAATGTCTTATTAGTTCCCAGAATATCGCTTCCGCAAACTTGAGAAGAGTAGTTACGATAAAAATAGCTTTAAAGTTTCAGTAACGATTCTTGCACGCTCACGCAACAAATTTCGATATCAACAATCAATAAATTATTCCGTGACAACGTTGGCCCTATCTTAACAGGGCACAAGCTCTTGAATATATGTATATAGACATTTCTACCTCGTCTACGCTCGAGAAATTGCCTCTAGCAGTACAGTTGTGAGATGCACACAAAATTCTAAAACAATTTACTATTGCAATAATACTTCAATCCGATTGATCATAGAATGGTAGATTGCTCTAATGCACATCGTTGGATAATTCCTTTCAAAAAGTTGTATACATTTCAACATTTAGCCGCGCGCTCCACGAATGCTATAGACGCTGATCCGATAACCCTCGCCTCACGTCGGTTTTCACACGTCAAGCGAGGATAAGAGGACTCTGGCTGATTTACGTGACACTGCTCTTCCCCCTGAAAAAGATTAAAGCGCGGAAACATATGACTCAATGAAAAAAAAAAGGAACAAATAACTGAGCGCGACGGTGACTGGAATCCGTCCGATTTCACCAGAAATAATTAATCCTAACAGTTGCCGTCGACGCGTTTAAATAACTATTTAATTATACCGATCTTTCTCTTTCGAAACTTCAACTGCCATAAGAGTAATCGCAGATAGATATCAGAGGTTTGAATAAAAATATTCTTTAATCATAACGGATGAATAATGATTTTATTAACAGCATAGAACGTACGATGTGAAATTTGTGATACTAAATTCTGTACAAAATCATTGATAACAATGTTAAATACTACGAATAGATTCCTCTCTGCGAGAATGCGTTAATCAGAACGGTATACCGATTTGCTCACTGAAGAGAGGACACTTGACCTACATACTTCATGTAGCGAAATAATTATGATTGAGCATCTCGCTGTTACTTATTAAAGCCAAAGAGTGCATTCACAGTTGTTACTCATCCGAATATTTTTCAGTCGCATCCTTAAGTGTCCCACTTTAGCACGTTCCAGATTTCCATTCATTATTCATTTCAAGTTTCTTATCAACCCTTTCTCTCCCCTAGAACTCTATGATAACGTACATACTTTAAAATCAGGAATGAAAACNAAATATATCGACTGTAAAAGTTTAATACAAAATTACATTAAAATGGAATTACAGTGTTGCTCGGAATTCAGTCTCTCAGATGTAATTCCACAGTGTAAATCAGTTTTGCTATTGGGAGGTAATTGTGCGTAACCACCCTCACTTCCTGAGCGTAAATACTACCAGTTGGGTTTCGCTAATCGGTAGAATGTCCATTTACCTCTTGCGGTTTGTCCATTTACCGAAATTTTCGCCTCTTCGAAAACGCGTGTACGTGACTAATTAAATTGGTATTATTTTGGTAACATTAATCAACGTATAATTGCGATTCTACATTCACTCTACATTTATTCATAGGATCATCTAATAATATTATATTTCATATGTGAAATATATCGCGTGTGTTATTTTATCACGAAATGGAAATTGTGATAACTTTTTCAGCGTAAAAAGGGGATAGAACGCTGTTTATTAATGCGATTTATTAATTGTGGCTTAAGTACAAAATATCTTCGGGTTTCTGAGCTGGTGTAACCAGGGAGCAGCAGCTGATTCAAAATAATTGTCAGCTGTTTGGTGAGAAGCCACGGGAGGGGCAGGAGCCGGAGCAGGTTGGTGAGTTATTTTAAGAGGCAAAGGGACAATCGACGCAGTAGCAAAGTCTCGTTAGGCACGAAGGGTTCGCTTCAGAGGAAAAATATTTCAGCGTTGAAAGACGCAAGCGGGTGTGTGTATATATATATATACTTGTGGCTGATCGAGAAATAGGGTGTAAGCTAAAGACACCGCCGCGACTACCCACGGTACAGTACCATCGGCATACGATTACTAAGGGAGCCGCGGATAAGCTCGACTAAGCACTAATCGAGAGCACCGCGAAGTCTCTTTCATCACGGGCGTAAGTAATTCGTTTAGTAATTTACTGAGCGGAGCGAATAAGAGTTACAACGAGGTGTCCTCGCATGAATTAACAAACGGTACTGACGAGAATATCCGCGTTAAGGTAACCATTAAAGCATCGTCTTCCCATAATCGATGCGCCTTGCATAAGCGTAACGCTACCCAAAAGTCTTTTTGCGCTTCCCTGACGCTTTATGTCAACGATTCTGTTAGAAATAATTTTTAATTAAACTCGTCTACGTTGCAGTTCAATCGTCTTGGAATCAAATTACCGCTCATTATATTCTATGTATTTATTAACGAATATCGAGGTACATGTTAAACGTGTTAATAAGCATCGTTCCTTTATTGAAATCTGTCGATATTGAAAAAACCTTCGCGTAACGTGAAGAAGGAAATTTTCCAATTCGTCCGGAGACAAGGCAAGTCATTTTTCCTTCGGTTATATCACGACGTGTGTTCAGCCTGTATTTATGCATCCATTCGAATGTCTTCTCTTGTTCATTGCGATGCGTATATGCAGCACCCATATCGCACGAGGTTATCTTCATCTGCAATGTTCCCTTCTATTCGAATGCGAACGATAAATCGTGAAAAGGTTTTCAGGAATGTCTCGGATGGACTCGGTAATGGAAAACGCGGACCCACCCGTCCGTAGTTCACCACGATAAAAACTTCTTGCTCGATGCATATTTTCTGTTTAATTAGGTGACAACTAAAATATTACCATGGATGTTTATATACAATAACTAATTAATAATGTTACCTTTAACATGGTATTCTAAATGAGTCGTACTCGAAGAGCAAGAGCTTTTTAAAGAACTCGATGTTTTGATCCCATTTATACATGCAGTCTGCTAAGGAGAAGAATTTACGAGATGAAATAAAACAGCATGTAGGATTTTTTTATGACGCCCGAAGGGTCTGTTTTATACTGGAACACGGCATATCAAATGCATGAGAGATACTTGCTCTTGAAGCTTATTAAACCGAATGCTTTTTTATTAATAGGTGCTGTCACCCACGCGAAAACAGTATTACCAGCGTAAAACACGTATTTGCCAGGAGCTATTCAGTTACATATTGTGTAATACAGGATTACAACTTCATAAAGCGTCGGTCTGTTATTTATCATTCCATTATCGTTCACCGCTGCATACTTCCTGCTGTGTAACTACCATAACTTTTTTAAACAGACATTTCACGTTTCGTGTAAATCAAATCTGCTCCATTGTAATTCTGCTCGCGATAGATTTTAAAATGTCAGCTTTTTTTCCCCCGTCCAATCGAACGCGTACGGCTTAACCAGATTCTCTTTATCGATCCCTGATTTATGTCACGTCATGGTTACTGGAATTCGGGCCTCGCTTTGTCCACGCGTTATAAATCTGCTTAGGAGCTTGACATTCTAACAACTTGTTTGATGTAAACGCAACTTGGTTGTTGCAGTGCGTGCAATAAAATTGTATAAATTATTGGCTCGCCATTAGACGCACAGGGAAACGGACGCGTATTGTTTAGTAGAATTGGTCTGTGTCGTGTTTTCCAACGTCACTTCAAAGTTATACGCCGTCCCAGATCCATATGTACGCCGCTGTATTGCCGAACATTTATGAAATTGCAAATTACATTCGTGATTGCCAGTTAGAACTCGGAAAAGGAAGTGAATATTTCTTTCAAGTGGAAACTGGGAACTTGTCACTTCAGCAAAAATAAACGGTGAGAAGAAGTTATTGGGTTATCGTATAACAACTTTATTTCAGCTATTTTTAAGTAGTAAAACGTTCGATAATCAATTTCCTTTTTTCGCAAATGGGTTGCCGGAAAGCTTCAAATTACTAGCTTGTAAATTTAACATTAAATCGCATCTTTGTTTGATAATTTCATCTAAAACAATCGCATTTTATTTATCTCGTTAAATTTCAATATGAAACCTGATTCTCGTGCTAGTTTTATATGAATGCATAAGAATATATGAATACGTAATATAAACTTTAAAAATTAAAACGTCTGGCTCGTGAAGTTTCGCTTTTATATCTTTTTTGAGCTTTCGCCTACGGATTATTACTTTTTTCTCGTGCACGACTAAATTGTAACTAAAGGAAAAAATCCACCGAAATTAGGACGGTGTTAAAAGTGCGTTGAGAGAATTCTTCTTTCGTTTTACGAGATTTCTGTAAAAACCTTGTTACTTTATCTAGGAAACAAGCTATGCTTCGTGATATGAACAACCTAATGTCTACAATAAATGGTACTGAAGAAGAACATAAATTGGCTACGAGAACGTTTCACGCATGCCATCTTATGAGATAACAATTGAAAATATGAAACCAGTAACGAAACCGTGCGATTCACGTATCAATATCAAATAACTGGTAGGCGAACGTCAATTTCCATTTTTATTCCCCTCTGTTTGCCCGTCCTTATTTGCATTTTATTATCAAAGGGAATATTAATAAAAAGCTAAATAAACGTATACCTTACCGGGTAGCTAACAGACGCACACGAATGGTTCATCAGAGTTCTGAACTTTGTCATTAAATCGGACCGCGCCCCCTGTTCCACCACGATCGTTTTTGGTATAATAATAAACAAACGCGGTACAGGTCCATATATACATGCACACACTAGGGGTAGCTTTTACCGTCAGGTGAAAACGAAGCGCCGGGCCCGTAAGAGACTAATAATACGTGGACATATATCACGGAAGACTGGATAATTCCGTTAGCACGGAGATTGGAGCTCAATGAGGTGCGTTCTTAACAACTTATCGAACCATACGAGGGATAAGCTCGGCTGAATGATCACTATGTGTAATCAGGTATGTCGTTACACGATGCTTACACGGGCCCCTGACGAGCCAAGGGGTTCTGCCTATTTTGCTACGGCCAGCGGAGCTGTGAAAATGCCTTTTTACGAAGCAACCGAGCATGCGAGCCGCGATCGCACCTCGACCATGCACACGCCGCGCCCCGGGTCGACTCGCAGGCGTAGCGGACCAAGTGAGACACGATGAAACGTGTACGGATGAAATGTTTTCACCGAGGAGGCTCAAAGGACGGTTAACAGGCATGTGCACCTCTGACGGCGGCGTCCCAACCGATCCCGGGCCGATATGCATATAGCGCGACGCTTCGCGAACCAACCCCCATCCGTCCTCTTTTTCCCGCTTTGTTCGTCACATCACCTCCTACGCCTTTTTTATCCCTCGCTCTCCTCTTGTTTTTTGGTCGATTTGATTGGTTTATCGCTTTTAGCTGTTGCCGATTCGCGCGATTCGCTCGCGGTGCTTCCACTATGAATAATACACGGGGTGCTCCCGATAAGCGTGAAACGTCGAAAATAGGGGCGACAAAACCTACAATGTAGGTCACCGTGCGAGAGAATACGTTTCCCCTCGGCTTTTCTCGCATTTCTTTACGCTCGTTTGCATACATTCTTAGTAATTAAACCGCGGCTTCTCGGTTCGCTGTGATACGTTCATCGAGTAAACGATATTTCTGGTTCTACAAAAGTATCGTCATTTTTTCAATAACGAACGATGATCGGCGGGTGGATTTTATGTATCGTCGAAACTTGGTCCGTGCTGAGGACGAAGGGAGATCTCTTTTTAAAGTCAGAAATTCTAATGCAGAGCAATCTGCCAGAACCGCTTCTGCTCCTAGCTGCTCGAAAATATGATCCGCCAGGACGATCATAAAGAAATCAGCAAATCATAAAACAGGAAGAATAGTTACGGCAGAAGGCAAAAAAGGAGTTCCTTCAAAGACGGCGCACAGCACGCCGTATTTACTGCAAAAAAGGAGAGTTCGACCTCCACTATTTGTGAATCTTGCAATATTTCACTCCACAAAGAGCTGCGTTTCGAACTTGGAGGAAAAAGTATAAAACGTCTTACTTGTATTATGAAATGTTTCCTGTCCGAATTAAGATTTATTGCAGTAATAAATAGGCGGTCTCAGATTTTCTAATGCGAATTTGTTTTATCATTCGCATATTTGCATTCGACATTGTCTTTCTCCTGATTCTCCTTTATGGAGAGAATGGGACAAGTGATTCTGTCAGAGAATTAGTTTTTTTTCGAACACATCAAAGACACAAATGGTTCTTTTACCAACATTATACTGAAGACGTTTGAGTGGCCTGTTTCAAATGAGACTCTCTGTATTCTATACACATCTCTCCGTATATGTAACTCTCTTCTTGGGTCTGTATCCCCGAAAGTATTTACTTGGACAAGATTTTCAGATAACGGAGAATGTTTCTCAACATATAGCTTCTTGTATATGTAAATACATCGGTATTATTTACAAAATAGTATTAGGGAAGCGGAAAGATCAAGTGATACAAATTGTACATCGAGAAATTGAAGATCCCGTGTTTGGTTCTCGGTAGGAAATCCAGGCCATTCGTGCAATTGCGCTATAAGCATTATATTATACCTGCTATAAGTATCGCGCTATAACTCGGCATTGAAACGAGATACAGAGAAAATAAGTGTGCGCAATAGAGTTTCATAGGACTCATATAAGCTAGCTTCAACTCTTATTATCAAATTTAATCCCCATACCTAGTCGGTCTGTTCTGCCATTCACTTTATTAAAACGATTACTATATTCAAACTATAATGTACAATTTCAATTTGGAAATACCGTTCACGAACTCTTGTCAGTGAATTACATTTACAAAAATAAATGTTTCCGTAGCTTTGAGAAGTGAGCATTCGTCAATTTTTCCCAGCAAGCATTTTTAACAATAGCAGCTGAAACGCGCGTTGGACGCAATGATCAAAGATCCTTGAACGAGGTATACAAAAAAAGCGCACAGGTGCCCGCTACCCTTTTTGCAAGCGCTGCGTGCGAGAAACTTTGGTATGCATGTTTTATCGATTGGTCACGTACTAACAAAAGCCGCGTTCGTTGTGGAGTAGGAAACGGTACCAAAATGACATTTGCTACGGGTTTGGTCGCGTTTCATCTACACGAGAGTGTGTGCAACGAGATTCGCGTCACATATATAATGCTCATTAAAATCAAATATGTATACCTTTCCAGTTAACGAGAATTTTCCTTTATAAAACAAAGCCGCTTATCTTTCAGGTGCAAACAACATTATATTCAACGATCGATAATTATCTTGGACAAAAAATTTCTGAATAAAATTTACGTTGCAGCTTTATTATCGGACAAGCCGCTGCATACATCATTTCGCGCAAATTCATTCTCAAAGGTTGTAACAACAATTATATTTTACAGTTAAGGGTTAAAGTTTCATGCGCAGATATATCTACAAGCTACCGTATCTAGTTCGGCTAATACCCTGAATGTTCTGTACAAAGTAACTTCTAAATGTTTATCTTACTTCACATGTAGAAACACTTGGATAGTCTAGTACTAACTTCGCCCTCGCTCCGTCCCTCTCAGGAAATTCAGTTTATTTACTATTCCATGTAGTCGAAATTATACCTATCAAGTACAACTTCTGTGAAGAAAGAAACAATTCTGTCTTTTATATACAAAGAGACTATTACGTTCCTTAAACTGAGTAAGGCAGAACGAGTGCATACAGCGTGCAATTACTTTTTTTTTTATGACATCGTAAGAGAACGCGTACCAAAAAAGAAACGCTGTGACCCGGTGCCTATATTTACATCGAACGTTCGCTCGTTTGATCAGCGCAAATAAACTTGGAAAATCTGTACTGCAACCCGCGCAAAGACAAAGAGCGATTTAAAAAAAAAAAAAAACGACGACTCACGCACTCAGGCTTGTAACCGACTGTTGGAGGAGCATAAAAAGCACGCAGTGCGTATCGGTGGAACATATCGAATAAATCAGGATGAACGATCGCGAGCACAAAGAGGCTAGAAATAGCGGAGTCCGCGGGGCAGGAGTCTTATCGGTCGTTGGACATAATCGGTATACAGGATCGTAAAGGCACGATACGTACGATTACCTCGCTGTAGAAAGAGGAAACGAGAGAGAGAGAGAGAGAGAGAGAGAGAGTAGTGCCGAGGTGGGCCCCTGGTTAGCCAACCAGGCTCCTCTTCGTCTTCTTCAGCTCTTGGAGCGTGAACGGAAATAGCCATCGGTGTGCACCGGAAGCTCCGCAGCAAAGTCCTCCCCCTCCGTTCGAGAAAAAGGGATCCCTATAGTAGCAGCAGGTTCTGCGGTGTAGCGTATAGCAAGGGTCGCCAACGCTCTGAAAAGAGAAAAAGAGAAACGGGATATTGCAGGATGGAAAAGGGAAGCGCGAGTGGGAGACGGTTGGAAGGGTAGATGGTGGACACCGATGGGGCGAGGGGTGCGGAGCGGACGGTAGATAAAAGGGTAGGAAGAGAAACCGATCGTCGGTAGGGGGTTGGGTTTGGTTCGGTGGTGGCAGTGGCGGCGAGGAGAATAGTGTGGCTGGACTGTAGGAGAGGGGTAGTATTATATTTGCGCAGGGCCGTCCGATAGGGCGCAGTATCGTCGCGACCGCCGTCGCGTGCACGTCGATTTTCTGTGCGTTTACGTGATACTCGAGATTTAACGCGAGTGCACCCGCACCGAGGAACATCGCTACTTCTCTCCTTGTCGGTCGCACTTGGCCCGGCTATCCTCGCGTCTCTTTTCTTTCCTCTCCTTCTTTCATTCTCGCCTGCTCTCTTTTACTCGTGCCCGTCGTCCGTCGGCTCGTCTCTCTCTCGCTCCCCCATCGTCCAACTCGCTCTCTCTGACTGTTCTCTGTCTATCTCTCTCTCCTCGTTGCCGTCTCTCTCCGATTACGTTCCACGCGTACTCACATTCCCGTTACCTCTTTCAACGTTTCGCGCGTGATCTACCCGATGCCCCGCTATACATAGTTCGCGTTCCGCGAGCCGCGCTCGTTCAAACGAGCTATAAACAACAACAACAACAAGAACAAGAGAGACCGCGAACCAGCAGCCGCGAAGTGTTCTGACCAAAAAGTGAGTAGAAAGTGTTGTTCACGTGATTACATTTCTCCAGTACTTTTTTTATTTCTCTTCTCCTTCGGCGTCAGTTCACCCATTTGCACGCGTTCATTCCTCACGGAGTATGGAAATGAGTACGAAATTTCTTTAGTACTCCATCGCTTCAATTCTCACCCCGTTGTATACTCGCGAAAATTGCCCCCCTCCCTTCTAGCCGAGTGACTTTTCGACGCAACGCGACCTTCGCTCTTCTCTTCTCGCGTTAATTCGACCAGACACAAACCAGTCTGACTACTGGCTAGGGTGACCGTTGCGCGAATAATTGCCGGTAATTGCCGCAGGATTGTCGGGTTTTCGGGATAGCATCTATCGGTCCAAGCGACCCGATGGTGTAACGAGACCGATGCGATGCGATGGAATGAATGTGCTCGTTTTCGCCCGCGCCGATGCCGTGATAATAGAGGGTGAATCACTACCACTCGGGGGTTCAGTTCTCCTCCCCGAAATGGTAGGATCTTTAATGAAACGCGCGCCACGTTTTACATTGACATTCTCGCGTTTCGTGAAAAGTCAAACGACTGAGGTACAAAATTTAGTAACGAGGATCTACCGTTCTTTATGACAATGTAGGGTAGGTGTGTTGATGAATGTTCCTGCCACTGTACTGTCTACCCTTGAATTTGGATAGACTCCAAATTTAATGTCAGGAGTTCAGATTTTTATTCTGTCAGCGACGTAAATAATATTGAGGAACATTAAAGATGTCGACGTACATATAAGTGTATAAAGTTGTTGATGGAACGCTGTCAGCACTGATCTCAAAGTAACTTTCCTTCGTTACGTCTTTCATTCAACCCTCGCGGATTGGCCAAATGGAAAAGTTTTGATGAGTTTTGCTATCAATATCAAACACTACTATTTAATTGTGTTCTCTTGTTTCGAAATGTTCTATAGAAATTTTGTTTAAGAGATAAAGACACACTGAATTCTAATCTATTGCGAATTCATCAAAACATCTTTCTCTATCCTCTAAAATCACACCTTAAGTGTTCTGTAATATTTTAAAGAATTCTGTACTCAAGAACGAACGTTGTTATTGCCATATTTAATATCTCATCTCCTTCGACAAAATCGAATGAGCGAATTAACTTGATTTGAAATTTCATTAAAGTCGGTGTCGCATCGCGCGACACATAAAAAGAATTGATTATACATGCAGTTTCGCAGTTTTTCTTGTTTCCCCTGTAACGAACGCGACGACACGTGCATTTGCATTTCTTAATAAAAGCTCATTTTATTACTGTCTCATTGTCGAGCATTCGAGGACAGCAAATACAAGCTTCGCGCTCGATGACGATTTTATCACCGTTCCTTCTTGAATAATGAATAATTCAGAAACGCGAATTTATTCACTAGCGATATAATTGAAGTCTACAATTTTTATACCTTAGACAATTGTCCACCAATTGATCCTACGTTATTGCTGAATATTTTACAATAACAATTTAGCGGTTGTTTTATAGTTTTATGACTAATTTTTCTAACTCGGAGTTACCCGCTTTGAATAAAACTATTTTGCTTAGTTCACAGAACATGATAAGATATTTTTATGTATACTGGCATTGCACAATGTTTTTAATTAACCAAATGTAATTAATGTAATTAATAAAGTTCATCAGTGAACACGGTTGATAAGAGCTCATACGTTTCCTAAGCTTTAACGTAGATTTTCACACGATAGAGATAATTTCATCTTGGCCGAGGGGAAAAGAGAGGTTGCATTCCTTATAATTATCTTGAGATAAGTTGGTAAGGATAAGTCATGGTGAACAGTATACGAAGTCTACGAGAGAACGAGAATGAAAGGGAGAGAAATTCGATTTTCGCTTTAGTGATACTATTGTGTGAGAACTATCTCTTTGTATAACTGAGTCCGTTCTATATGGCATTGTTCAATTCTGAACTCGGCAATATAGACGATAAAACTCAATAAATCCGAAGACTCTTCTTCTGTTGCGACGTTCGGATCGATGGTCCCATTAACAAAGTAGCAATGAAATATTAATGAAGTCTTCAATGCGATTTTTATCGAACTATCGCTTTATTAAAAAAATATTTGCAATACCTCACTCGAATTGGTAAATAGCTTAATCGAGTAATTAAAATACTCGTTACAAGTTTCTCTATCTTAAGTGGTAACGTTTATGCTTGAAAAGCTGTGAAAAGAAATTTAGTTGATCTGCAATGTTATACATAGAAGAAACGACTTTGTAATTACAACAATTAATATTACATAAGAAGGAGATGGTATGATTGATTAAATTTCGATTAACGTTTTAGTTTATCAGAAATTCCATGCATTTTTGAGACGAAAGCGGATCTTATTCCCTATTGATTGGCATTCTCTTTCGAGTTTTCGGAAAGTAGGTGTAGAGTAGTCGACGGAACATAAAGGAGCAGCGAGAAATAGGAAGCAGCCTTTGTTTTCGCACACGCTGCTGTTAAATTCGCGTATTTCTTCCGATATCTTTTGATCCCGACTTTCAAAAACTTGATCAAATGTACATACATATATACTATCGTGCACACAAAGAGCACACATAGCGTACATAGTTCGTGAAGATTTAGTTTAGCAACGTTCGAAAATAAGAAGGAATAAATAAAGAAAATATTTAAAAATTTTTGTTAACTTTCAACGCGAAATGTTAACGCGTAACTATTTTTCTTAAGGAGGTATTGTGATTTCAATTGCACAAACGCGGGTCAGTTTATTTCTTAATTAAAATTAAAGCTTTCTTCTGACCTTATTTTCATACCATTGTATCCGGGCACGCATGTGAACTAGTTGGTAATTCCGTTAATAACACTTCCCTAAGGAAGAAATTATGGGCTAGAAACACGCAATACTTTTACCAAGAAAGGCATTTGAAACAGATGTTTTAGTGAATTAAAACGTCCTCAGCCTGCAATGGTCGCAATCAATGGTGTTTTAATTTATCTCTGAATGTAACATTTTCGGTGCACCAGATATCTATGTTACTTCGTTGCTCCTTGTCCTCAGTAATTTATGCATTAAAGTCGACGAAGCCGGGAACTCGAATTATACTTTCGTGCAGTAAAGTTTTAGCCTGTTACCTATGTCACGCTCCTAACTAATGCAGAACTTGTGTTAATCTTTGAATCTAGAGATACACACAGAATGAAAATGATTCTCTTTTAGTGAAAAAGAAGTGTTTCAAGTATCGCTAAAAGCTGTCGAACATTTTCTAAACTATTATAACATTACTCGTTAATTCTCTTCGTGATCTTAATTCAAACATCATTTAGTCACAAACACGAACGCTATAGATTAAAATATGTTTGTTTCATCAATTTTATTTAGCGTCCAGTTATGCAGAAGCGTAAGGAGCCGATACAAGTGACTCATAAAATATCTTTCCGTGATACAACGATATGAAAGCACGAAGTTATGCCACTCGCAACTATTAATTTTCGTTTAAAATCCGATATGTCGATTAATAAATCCTTGTTGTGTGTTCGTAATATAAATCACACGATTAATGCTATCGCCGTTCTGCAATTTATTTCATCTGCTAAATTGTTACCTTTAACGCAACGCGACAGATAGATTGAGCCACAAATTTTCTGCCCCGTTCATTTTTGCT